CTCCAATTCTGTCTTTAATTTGTTTAATGCTAACAATACATGAAATTCCTTAATTATCGTAATATATATGCCACGTAGATGGGAATTCAGATACTTTGGTATCTCTTTACATATAAAAGTTACATTTATCCATCGCCCAATGACCTAATAAGAACTCCGTATTAATTTATTACTTTGAAGATACATCGTCTATATATTGATTTCGGTGACAGGTCGCAAACATTAAGAGAAAATATAATAATATTTATTTATTGTCATGATAATCTGAAGACCGTCCGACGGCCATTATAAACATAGCCGATATTCTACAACTGCAATTCATCTAATACAAAGATTGCAATGATAATATAATTTTAATTTTATTATTCAAATAATTTACGATTCTTTTTTATTGCGAGACACATAATTTGTTTATATAATAAAATTTGATTATTTATGTCTAATTCTCATTAGAGTAATGCTTATAGTCAATATTTTCAAACATCAACGTCAACATATTTACAGTCCACAGTATGAAAAGGTCAGTAGCCTAAACGAGAGAATAGATAAAATATCACCTTTTCTAAAGACTAAATAGTATAAAGGATTACAGTAAATGCACGAAAAATAGTTACATAGTCTTATAAGTTTTTTTTGTAACAACAGTATGCTAATGAGCTAAACAACTGTCGCGTGCAGAACTTTTATGCAAATATTGCCTATAGCATATTTTACACGACAATTATCCTTTGTTTGTTCAAAAAATATCTATAATATTGTTTTGCGTCAACTTTTTAAATTTAAACATTCCTTTTAATATTAAATATTAGATAATAAGGAAACAATCAAACATCTTGATATAAATTTAGAAGGAACATTTTAAATCTAAAAAATTTACTATATACAATATTTTAGAATATGTATTTTATTAATCGATAATCATTTATCATAGACATTTTAGTCGCTTATGAATATTAAGTTTTTTTGTGTATACTTTTTTCCATAACATATTTTTATAATAATGTCAAGATAAATTGTCATTTTGCATATAATTCCTGCACACAAGCCTAGAATAAATGGATATAGCCGAAAACACAGACTTAGTCAATTACATTGCAGCATTTTTTCATCATATAAGGAAATACATCGTCATAATTCGACTTGTGAGTGCATTCGGCTTTAAACCAACAATTGTATGTTAAAATGCATTTTTATTATATGTACATAAAGCTTGATATATATTACTTTTATACAATATAAAGTAACATAATACTATATCAAGTTTCATTTAACATAATAATAATTATAAATAAACATACAATTATCAGTTGGGAGTTTTCAATTATTACATAATTACTGGATAATAGCCAATATAACATTTTCTATCATATTTAATAAACATTTCAACATATTTACATCAATAACAGTTCACTATAATCGATATACGACTAACAATGATCGGATATCGAATTTATAATCGATATTCAATAGCAAATCTATATTTAGATTTTAAATCGATGCAGAAAAATGACAGATCGAAACATCACTATTGAAAATAATGTTGCCATATGCATTCCAATACTGAGGAGCAGCAATTCACTTATATAAACCATTTAATAAACGTATAGGAAAGGCCTTTTTTACAAATTCCTCAGATTATATACGTATTTTTTTTATGTTGTAACATAACTACAATGAGTAATTTTGTCACATCAGTATTTTTTTAAGATGATAAATTGCAACACTGCAGATGAAATTTTACTGCATTGAATTAAAAGGCAGTGTAAAGTTAAAAACTGTGATATTTCTTATATTTCATTAACAGTATTAGAATATTAAAATAGAGAAGATATCAATGTGTTGTAACATTTTAAATCGTGTGCTATATTTATATGTTTATTGAGGCATTAAGTAGGCGTTTTTAAAGTTGAGTGTATATCTATTACTATATCCATCTTTATAATAAGACTTATGTATTTAAAAAAATATACATATATTAATATTTAAAATTGTTGGCATATTTTATATTAGTTCTTTCGTAAAAGTATTGAATTAGTACCAAGTGGTACAAATCTGTTCTGTGATTTTTATTTAAACATTGTCTTGTGATAAATGTTGGCGGAATCACAACAGTAACAATAGATTAATTTAAAACAGCTCATTTTATTAAATTTCAATAAGTTCGAGACACAAATGTACGGTTCATTTGTGTACTAGTAGTCTCTAATAAATTTAACAAAAATAATTCCTTACGCGCAATATAGCTCAATTAGTTTTATATCATGTAAGTCTACTGGATTTTGCAATTGCAGTAGACTAATTAAAAAAATAACAAAAGAAATGCATCAGTTCAGTTCTTCACAACAGAAACAGCGGTATGCATAGATATAAAACAATTTTACGTGTGTCTGATTCAACTAGACTTATATGATTTTTACCTTGATTTTGAAATATATAAAAAGCATCGTAGTCAATTATTAAGAATTTGTTTCGATGGCAAATTCTATCTGTGAAGGTCTATCTTAATTTATTATGATGCCTTAGAGTGTAGTGGGCGTACTTTTCATTTCCACGAGTAAACTTTTAGAATTATACAAGTATATAATACTTTTAAAACATTTTGTGTTTATTTATCATGTTTTATACATATGAAACGTGTATAATATAACTTTTGTATGTGAAAATGTCACAAGTACCACCAAAACATACTTCGCCTTATTTATAAAAACGAATACCTATAAAACATTTTTAACTATTGCAGTATTTTGTCACTTTCATTATTTACGTAGTTCCTCATAAAAATTATCGCAGTTAGTCTCTGAATAACCACATTTCATCATAATACATACAAAAAAATTTTGAACAATATTCAATTCACAGGACAAAACAATTCAATAGCTAACGTTTATTAGATATTTATTTTTATGAGTAACGGACACAGTCAGCTACATGTATGTGGTGTTGAAAAGAGACAGACTATCAACAAGTGTTACCAATAACCTACTCTAACCAACTATGTCTACATCGCCCCATAGCGACAATACTTATTCAAATAATTTACATACATTTAACATTACGTAGCTCGCCCGCAATATTTTAAACTGAAATTGTTCTCAAATTTTATACTATACAATATATACACACTGCACAGAGTAATGGATACAGGTTGGAAGTATATACATACATCAGAGAATAATAATTCCAACCATAAAGTCAATAGGCACCGAACACAAACCATTCATTATAAAACCAGTTGTATAAGTTTATTAAACGATAAAAAAAATGTTAAATATTATTTTAAATATATGACATAGATTTTCGACTTAGTTTATAAAGAATAAATTTAGCTGCCTCATGTTATCAAAATACTTCTCACAATAAAATAAAAAAGAACTATAAATATATGAGTCGTAGAGATCATTTTCGTATGACTGGAATGTCTTAAAATCTTCACGTGTAAATTATGTGAAATGTATAGATTTGTACTAGACGTAAAATAATTTAGTATTCTAATTTTAAAAATAATTATGCATTTCTAATGGTCCCAATTAAGTACACGATTGAAAAATATTAAGTTTAAAGCCCGACCAGTAAAATAAGAACCCCGCAATATTGGATTTTATTCTTAGAAATATTATTTTATGTTGGCATGACTGAACCATGTGTTGCCATATAAAGTCCGAAAATAATATCTTCAATGCAGAGTTTTAATCATATTTACATCCTTTTAAGTACACAAAGAGTTTATATAAAAATAATAGAAAAAACTAAAACCTTTTTCTATATATATTAGCTAGAATACAAGTTCAAGAAACGTATTATATAAAAATAATGACCTATATGATATGAATGTATTATTGTAAATAGAACCGGATACGTTAACATTCATTCACGATTAGTTTCTTCCCGTACAGCAGCTTATGCCTAATAAGAACTTTCTTGACTATATATTCCAAGTTAAACAATCTGGTTCTATTCCTAATAAAGTATGAATAATTAATCAAGAGTATTAAGTCCTTCTTACAATAATAGTACTGATACTCAAATAAAGTAAAGTAAATTAAACTTAATACTAATATTTGAACCCAAATAAACTTATTTCAAACATATACATGAATACTTAGACTGGCAGTTATGTTGACAATCCCTATTATTAATTATAATACATTCAACTTTAGACTTTCGTACAAGTGGTTATGGTATGATTTAAATCAACGTATTTGTTAATAAAATATTTTCTAAACGTACAATTTATTGATTCAAGTCACCGATTTAATACTTGGAATGCACAGCTGATTTTATATATTTTTTTTTAAATAAATATTAGCCTCTTCCAGCGATTTTCCAAGACCATAATTGACCAGGATACAAACCCAACCCCAAATCCTATGTATATCAAAATTTATAATAAATAGTTAACGAGTGAAAGAGTAGCAAACAAACAAACAAATAAAAAAATAGTCCAAAAGTGTGTATCATAACTATCATATCATTGGTATATCTCTAATTGGTGACACTACAAATATAAAATTAGTGACTCAAATTAAAAATTATACCATCACATAAAGCTGATATAGATTTCCCCCTTAGTCGTAAAAATATTAATGTCTCGTATCTTTTTTTAAATTAGAAAGAGACAAAACACTAATAGTTATGGAAGACTTACTTTTTATGACTAAGGGAGATAAAAACTGTTGCAATTTGATAAATATGAATAAATCACATGTATGGCTTTCCTGAAGATACGCAGGTGACGTCTTTCTATTATTTTATAAATAAATAAACATTCAATACATATTCAAGTGTTTCATCGCTTTCTACATAAATTATATATTTTAAAAATTTGAAAATATATTAAAAACACAAAGATTTTATCAACGTCAACTATTGTTAGTGTTTCTTTGGCACTCAATTATTAATTTGAAGTAACAAAATAGATTTATTAAATGTATTTTTAATCAGGGCAACATATATACATATATATATAAACATGTTATAGACGTCACCTATTAGAAATTATAATTTAAAATAATAATAATGTGTCAGAGTTGCGAATGAATCTATTCATACTGCAATATAACTTGTTAACTGAATATTCAATTAAAGCTTACAAGGAATAATATATTTGTTATGAAATGTACAATCACTGCCATTTTTAATCAGTCTGGTAGCAAACGATTCTAACTCTAAATATTTCTATTCTAACGTGAGAAAGAGATGGAATGATTGGGCATCCCATCAGTCATAACACAGAAAGTACACTGAATCTGGTTTTTTTGTTCATATATTTGAAGTCCATTCATATTTTCTATGCTGAATGTGAAGATCTGTAATATACTTAATATTATAGTAAGGTTCAGTTTTAAACGCCCATTAAAATCTATTGACCTATGTTGAATGATTGCTATATTACGAATACTAAACTATTCGTGGTTTAAATGCATTTATGTCTTTTACTAATAGGATTTTAAGTTTAGACATCAACTAACTAGAAGCCATTCTTGATAATACTAACAAAATAGTAATATTTTCAACATTTTAAATGGCAACCCTTATAGATAATAGAGTGCAAAATAGAACGAGACGACAACTTTGCTGTGTCATTCTTTCATTTATCGTTTGCCACTTGACTAATAAAATCTGACTCCAGTATTCTAGTTATACACAACATAGAATATCAACGTAACTACGGTATAGGTCGGTGTTTAAGAGCTTAATAATTAGAAAATAAACTATTGCGTATACCGGTGCACTGGTCCGCGAAGCCGCAAAGTGTCTTTCCGAACGCATGCGTACGCGTGCGTGCGCAACCGCACGCGTGCGTTTAGGAGAGGCGGCAGTCTCAGGAGCGCGCATGCTTGGCGGCGGGCGGCGACCGTCAGAAGTAGATCACCTCCTCCTCCGCCGCAGCAGGCGCGGGGGCTGCGCTCGGCTCGGGCGACCGCACCCGGAACTTATCCGGTAACTTTGGATATGTGTTCGTTCTGAGCACAACAATAACGTATTTATTAATATTTTTAATATACAAAAGGTTTTATATTTTCTCAATTTATTATAATCTAATCTATATTAAAGAATATTCGATTAGGGCCCCAATAATAATTTTCTCATATAACTTCAACATATAGACAGCGATCATTTACTTTTTTATAACAAGTATATAATTATGGTAGGAACACCTATGCTGAGCTTAGATATCATGGCTTATGGCTGATATACGAGTATATAGTAGTATATTAAATATTCCGAATTTTCTCTAATTATAGCTAAAAATATTCATATACACTATTCTGCACGTTTTTAAATATAAAAATAAAGTAGTTATTTTTATTACAATAAAATATAATCATCTTTTTATACTTTAAATTCCAACTCCTAACATAGTAATGGAAGAAGTCCAATTCTAAATAGCCTGAAAACTTACGTCTTAAGAAAAAATTGTGTTACCCGAATATTTTTTTCTAATAATTAAACGTCTCTGAGTGCGACTGTAAGTACGATTACTGATAACTAATTTTTACATTTTACGGTAGTATAGTGATGATGTATTTATTAAAGAGCAACAGACAACATAGGTTTCTTTCTCAATCGTCTTGTGATGAGTCTGCGTTCCGAATGAGTGGTAGAATAAAAAAAATGTGACTATTCAAAAGTGCTTATATTAAGTTTATTTGAATAAAGATAAATATTTTCTATTTCTATTACCTGGTAGCTTTATTATTGATTTGCTGTTGGGAGGGCAGTGGTGCGGGCGAGCTCCCTGTACGTGTGTGCTGTATCACTAAGCCTTGGTTTGTCTGGAAAATTAGAAATACACGACGGGTTAATTACTCTAAAAATTAACATATTAATTTAAATATAAGTCAATATAAATTCATACTATTCAATATTGTTTTTTTGGGAGTCTTTAGTACCCTTATTAAGGTAAATACATACTTGCTTCATAAAATTTTATATATAACTATTAACAAACTTAACCCTTCCATCACAAATACATATACGATTAATTAAAATAGTAGGCCAAAGACAAAGAACGCCAGTTTATACAAATAACAGTGAGACTTTTTATATAACCCGTCGATAAAAATGTACTTTGTCAAATGGGAATAAAACCTTCGTGATTTTAAAAGAATACTTTTATATGTAATGACCGTTTGAAATATGGAAGTAATTTTATTATTATTGATCGGTCGTGTCGGTGGTCTAGCAGTTTAGCACGCCGCCTTACTTCCGATGATCGTCGGTTCGATTCCACGTACAGAGTATGATTGTTTATATTGCCTTGGGTGTTTCCTATGTATATTATGTATGTTTTTATAAATAAAATGTATTTAAGTATACCAGTTGTTTAGTACGAATAACACAAGCTCTGCTTAGGTTGGGGTTAGAATGCGCTGTGTGAATTGTCCTGTACTCATAACATCAAAAATTATGTTGTGTATGATGTTATCGAGTAAATTATAAACGTGAAAGTTTGCGAATGTGGACGGATGGATGGATGTTTATTACACATTCACGCAAAAACTACTGGAACGGATTTTAAGGAAACTTTACAAATATATAGCTTATACATCAGAATAACACATAGGCCGTAACTTTCAAGCGGGTGTAACCGCGGGCACTGGTAGTTATTTATAAAATTTCATAAATTTAACCATTAGTGGATACGGATACATATAAAACGATATTACTTGTTGGGTCTGTTGTTTAATACTACTACATTAATATTACTTCCTCAATGAGAGAACTATCAAACACTACCTATTCTAGAAAAAAAAATTAAACAAAGTAAATTTTTGTACCCCGAGTCAAAACCTTCTTCAGTACCTATATCCCTCTACTTACACTGTATATCTGTTTGGTTTCTTTTCCATCTGAAAATATGTTCATAGTTTTTCGACTTAAACTTTTTGTTTTTCGTACTAATTATACGGTATCTTTGTTTCTAATCGAATGTGCATGAATATTAATGTCTACAAGATGTGTAAGCATTAATATAAGAATTGTTAATAAACTTAATAATAAACAAAAATACATGCTCTCTAACATCAACAGCGGAACAGATAAAATGGTTGTCACAGTACAATTTCTACTTGTAGGCTCTTATATGTAAATAATAAAGCTATTTATAGTCCTATAGAGAAATGTCTGTTTCTCAGTATATCAGTAACGTAACTTTTCAGTTAATAACCAGATTTAGTTACAAGTCGAATCGGAAATTGTTAAGTATATTCAGCTCTAGTTGTAGAGCATTGTGGCTTTATAGTCTATTACCACGACTTAAGTTCTGGTCTCAAATAAGTTTTCTGACTCTCCGGTAATAAAAATATCAATGTCAAACCAAATTAAGCCATCGTAATGTGCAGTAAAATCGGCATTTTTCAAGTTTATTTGAAGTACTTAATAATAATTTAGATTTTTTTTTTATTTTTATTTACATATTCATATTAATTAATAATTCATATTCATATGAACAAATAAATGGAAATAAAATAATTATTTATTATATTATAATTCTTAAAGTTCTTATTATATTATAATTATATGTATTGTGTTTATTTTGTTGTTGTTATTGTTATTTATGTATAAGCTTCTGTTTCCATCACTTCACAATTCATTCAGTGAGGATGACTGGAAGAAATCTCTTAAAATTGTTCAATTTGTTTCTTAAGATTGTTGTACAAATTAAGTATTTTTCTGTGCAATAAAGTATTACAAACAAACGTATATTCAACGTAATACAATATTCAAAAGATTGTGGAAATGTCAAGAATTCCGTTTAACTTCTACTTTTGACAACACCTCTAACTATGCCCTCTGGGGTTAGAAACATGAAGGTATATTACTAAAGATGCTTGTGCTTTGAATACCATTTTTGAAATAGATATTTATTTTTCTTTTTCTCTATGTTTACAAATTATCTAAAAACATATGTGATTTGACCGCTTTAAATGACTTTTTAAATGAAAAATATAATCTTTAGGTATATTATGTATTTATTTAACGTAAATTAGTGACATACATACTTGTCTACCAATTCTGATTGACTTATTGTATCCTCTTAGTGGGTCATAGAGATACTTTAAAGTTGTCATTTTATAACAACTTTATTCGACATATGATCTACAACAATGATTTGAATTTCTTTTTTTTTTATTAATAATATTTTGTTGCGCGGTAAGAATTGACAAAGCGGTGATGTTCATTTTTAGGTTAAGTGATATTAACCTTTCTAATATACAGTTTACTCACTACTTTACAATCGAAATATTAAATTTGGTATTTAACAAAATAAAAATACAAAAGCAAAGAGAACAGGTTTGTACGAAGGACCATAAACAATAGTTTCGAGAGTCGCGGTGGGCGTACAAGTACAAAATACGAAGGCACAACAGCAAATTTGGAAGAACAATCTACTCGGCACCAACTGGCACGTCACTACCGGTTACTTACATATATAACTAATAATTTTGGCCAATTAAAATACGTTCGGATACTCGACCTCCTGTAAAATTCAATCAACCATTTGATCTGTTTATATTACGGCTTTTTTGTTAAAATTTTCTAATTATCGTTTAGTGTAATATAATGTTGAATAGGTATTAATTATCATTATTAATATTTGAAGTGAAATAAAAACATCAATTATTTGCAATTACTATAAAGAGTTAGTCAAAAATGGTATACAAATCGAAAGCCAGACTCTTAAAACTAACTACTTAATAGATTTGTACAGGCTACAAACTCATCATTCATAAACGAGGCATCATCAGGCAATGAATAGTTTGGAACAATCCAAACATATAGTTTGGAAGTCTGTTCGGCGACCACAATACGACTGTTTGTGATCAATCTAATAGTAGCGGAATTAGACAAAATAATATTATTAAGTAATGAAATAGAATTACACAAAATAACACTTAATTCGATAAATATCTTAAAATATTGGAAATTGTAAACACCAAATGTTTATGTAATATGTTAGAAAGTGACAGACTAAATGTATGTCTGTATTGCTTACACGATATAGTCTTGTAGTATGAATTTGTCTCTGTACCTGCTCTGTACCATATAGAAAGGTTTTAGGTAATGCCGGAAACGTAAGTGGTCTCCTTCGTTTCTTGATGTACTGTGTGTGTCTTAATAGAATAAAAATTCGGCTTAATATACCATTTATGACTAACCTTTATAATTATATTAATATAAATGTATAATTATATTATACTGATTAAAATACATATACAAATTTGGTATTATAATATAATCTTATTAATATTGTAATTTAAGAAGGGTTTTAAAAACCGTTAATTACTTATATGATATATTAATTATTTCTCTATATAAAATGGTTCTCTATATAAATGTATGAAAGGTTTAATAATGATTTCTATAACACAACTACATTCCCCTCTACGTTTGTTTAGACTCTATTATTATAGCAATAAAGTTGATAATGAACCATGTACCTCGCACGGCGACTCGTGTAGCCTGTGATAGCCTGGTGGCGGCTGTTGCTGACTTTTGCCGCTTGCTAATTTCAATGGTAACTGCTGTTTCACCATTTGCTAAAACAGAAAATCACTGTGAGAAACAAATACAAGTTTTTAGGCTTTTCATAATTTAAGGTATGGATTAGTTTGAGTATAAGAAAAAGATTTTTTTTAAACTATTGTAATACTGTTGGTTGCCGTTGGCTTTTACAGCTTCTCTGGGCGATAGGAGGTGAGTGCAGATGGCAGTCGTTCCTATAGTTCTGCGAAAGGACTTATACTGACTTTCGTCTCAGCACCACTAGGGGTTCAAACCTCAGCCCAGGTAGTCGTAATTTTGATCCCCGTTTGAATTGGACGGGGGATCGATAAGAGGGGCGAGAGTGAGTGTATGGAAATGAGTGTAAATATAAGTGCAAGGGTGACTAATTGTGAGTTACCATTTCAAATGCAAGAGTGAGCGTGAGTACGTGGCAAGTATTCTTCCAAATTTAAATCTGCTTTATTGTAAACATGTACAATACAATATTTATTTGAAAAGAATACGAGCTGAGTTTCTTGGCAGTTCTCATCTCGGAATCAGTCACGATAGATTTGACATATCATAAGACTCTGTAATGAGACCCACATGAATAAAGATATTTTGAATATGAATTTGAATAAGAGTACGTGTGGTAATGCGAGTGCGATTGCGTGCGGTATTGTGCGTGTGAGTGCGTGCGGTAATGTGAGTGCGAGTGCGTGTGGTAATATGAGTGTGAGTGCGTGTGGCAATGTGACTGTGAGTGCGTGTGGTATTGTGAGTGCGGGTGCGTGTGGTATTGTGAGTGCGGGTGCGTGCGGTATTGTGAGTGTGAGTGCGTGTGGTATCGTGAGGGTGAGTGTGAGTGCGTGCGGGTGCGTGTGTGCGGGCGTGGCTCACCGAGATGGCGGGCGCGCGCACTGTGGCGCGCGTCTCGTTGTGCGCGGAGAGCAGCTGCGGCGGCGGCAGCGGGCCCGCCGACCCCGCGCACGACCCCGACTCGGACCCCGTCGACCCGCGCGGGTCTGACCGCACACAAACAACACTTACACCACGTCCTCACTCGATACTAGATATCGCCACTCTATCGTGTATATACTGCATATTATATGGATACTACAGACTTAACTCGCAGAAATATAATAGATCAATGGTACAGTAATGTATTGAATATATATTATTACATTATTAAAAGTTGCCTTAACAAAAAAAGTTTAAATACTACACATATTCTACAAGAGATGTTCTCTATGAGTAGCTATGGAAATTGACTAGGGACCTCAGATTAGACTAAAGAAAAGAGAAATAGGCTCTAAAGAGTAGGTACAGTCAACCTACTTATGTATTTGTTCATCGAGAGAAGAGCTATATAGCTATATAATGTTAAACTAAACTCACTTCTCCATTTAGGATCTTTCCGTCGCGTGGTATCGCTAACGCTAGAGTCTGGTGATAGGGTGCCCACCGTTGACAACTCTTCTTGGGATCCACCTGTAAACATAATACATTCATTACATTACACGAACTCCATAAATTACATTGTATTTTAAACTGCAACATAATATATATAACGTACCATGTTGCTGTAACCTTTCCAGCCGTCGATACAACCGTTCCCTCTGTTGTTCCACATCTTTTTGTTGCTCTGCTAACTCTTCTCGTGCGGCCTGTAATTCTCGCCTTTCTGCAAGTAAATAAAGAATATTCATTATTTATTTTGATTAAGTGGATATTGGATTGTGCGTAGCTCGTCCAACTCCGTATATTCACTGTGTAATGTGTAGAATGTGGATTATATATGTGTGTAGTGTGTACGCACCGAGCGCGATGGCGGCGTGGTCGGCGGCGCGCTGCGCCTCCCAGGCGGCGCGGTCGTGCGTGAGGCGCGCCTGCGCGTGTGTAGTGTGTAGTGTGCACCGTGTAGTGTGTAGTGTGTAGTGTGTACGCACCGAGCGCGATGGCGGCGTGGTCGGCGGCGCGCTGCGCCTCCCAGGCGGCGCGGTCGTGCGTGAGGCGCGCCTGCGCGTGTGTAGTGTGTAGTGTGCACCGTGTAGTGTGTAGTGTGTAGTGTGTACGCAACGAGCGCGATGGCGGCGTGGTCGGCGGCGCGCTGCGCCTCCCAGGCGGCGCGGTCGTGTGTGAGGCGCGCCTGCGCGTGTGTAGTGTGTAGTGTGCACCGTGTAGTGTGTAGTGTGTAGTGTGTACGCACCGAGCGCGATGGCGGCGTGGTCGGCGGCGCGCTGCGCCTCCCAGGCGGCGCGGTCGTGCGTGAGGCGCGCCTGCGCGTGTGTAGTGTGTAGTGTGCACCGTGTAGTGTGTAGTGTGTAGTGTGTACGCACCGAGCGCGATGGCGGCGTGGTCGGCGGCGCGCTGCGCCTCCCAGGCGGCGCGGTCGTGCGTGAGGCGCGCCTGCGCGTGTGTAGTGTGTAGTGTGCACCGTGTAGTGTGTAGTGTGCACCGTGTAGTGTGTAGTGTGTAGTGTGTACGCAACGAGCGCGATGGCGGCGTGGTCGGCGGCGCGCTGCGCCTCCCAGGCGGCGCGGTCGTGTGTGAGGCGCGCCTGCGCGTGTGTAGTGTGTAGTGTGCACCGTGTAGTGTGTAGTGTGTAGTGTGTACGCACCGAGCGCGATGGCGGCGTGGTCGGCGGCGCGCTGCGCCTCCCAGGCGGCGCGGTCGTGCGTGAGGCGCGCCTGCGCGTGTGTAGTGTGTAGTGTGCACCGTGTAGTGTGTAGTGTGTAGTGTGTACGCAACGAGCGCGATGGCGGCGTGGTCGGCGGCGCGCTGCGCCTCCCAGGCGGCGCGGTCGTGTGTGAGGCGCGCCTGCGCGTGTGTAGTGTGTAGTGTGCACCGTGTAGTGTGTAGTGTGTAGGGTGTACGCACCGAGCGCGATGGCGGCGTGGTCGGCGGCGCGCTGCGCCTCCCAGGCGGCGCGGTCGTGTGTGAGGCGCGCCTGCGCGTGTGTAGTGTGTAGTGTGCACCGTGTAGTGTGTAGTGTGTAGTGTGTACGCACCGAGCGCGATGGCGGCGTGGTCGGCGGCGCGCTGCGCCTCCCAGGCGGCGCGGTCGTGCGTGAGGCGCGCCTGCGCGTGTGTAGTGTGTAGTGTGCACCGTGTAGTGTGTAGTGTGCACCGTGTAGTGTGTAGTGTGTAGTGTGTACGCACCGAGCGCGATGGCGGCGTGGTCGGCGGCGCGCTGCGCCTCCCAGGCGGCGCGGTCGTGCGTGAGGCGCGCCTGCGCGTGTGTAGTGTGTAGTGTGCACCGTGTAGTGTGTAGTGTGCACCGTGTAGTGTGTAGTGTGTACGCACCGAGCGCGATGGCGGCGTGGTCGGCGGCGCGCTGCGCCTCCCAGGCGGCGCGGTCGTGCGTGAGGCGCGCCTGCGCGTGTGTAGTGTGCACCGTGTAGTGTGTAGTGTGCACCATGTAGTGTGTAGTGTGCACCGTGTAGTGTGTAGTGTGTAGTGTGTACGCACCGAGCGCGATGGCGGCGTGGTCGGCGGCGCGCTGCGCCTCCCAGGCGGCGCGGTCGTGTGTGAGGCGCGCCTGCGCGTGTGTAGTGTGTAGTGTGCACCGTGTAGTGTGTAGTGTGTAGTGTGTACGCACCGGCGCGATGGCGGCGTGGTCGGCGGCGCGCTGCGCCTCCCAGGCGGCGCGGTCGTGTGTGAGGCGCGCCTGCGCGTGTGTAGTGTGTAGTGTGCACCGTGTAGTGTGTAGTGTGTAGTGTGTACGCACCGAGCGCGATGGCGGCGTGGTCGGCGGCGCGCTGCGCCTCCCAGGCGGCGCGGTCGTGTGTGAGGCGCGCCTGCGCGTGTGTAGTGTGTAGTGTGCACCGTGTAGTGTGTAGTGTGTAGTGTGTACGCACCGAGCGCGATGGCGGCGTGGTCGGCGGCGCGCTGCGCCTCCCAGGCGGCGCGGTCGTGCGTGAGGCGCGCCTGCGCGTGTGTAGTGTGTAGTGTGTAGTGTGTACGCACCGAGCGCGATGGCGGCGTGGTCGGCGGCGCGCTGCGCCTCCCAGGCGGCGCGGTCGTGCGTGAGGCGCGCCTGCGCGTGTGTAGTGTGTAGTGTGCACCGTGTAGTGTGTAGTGTGTAGTGTGTACGCACCGAGCGCGATGGCGGCGTGGTCGGCGGCGCGCTGCGCCTCCCAGGCGGCGCGGTCGTGCGTGAGGCGCGCCTGCGCGTGTGTAGTGTGTAGTGTGTAGTGTGTACGCACCGAGCGCGATGGCGGCGTGGTCGGCGGCGCGCTGCGCCTCCCAGGCGGCGCGGTCGTGCGTGAGGCGCGCCTGCGCGTGTGTAGTGTGTAGTGTGCACCGTGTAGTGTGTAGTGTGTAGTGTGTACGCACCGAGCGCGATGGCGGCGTGGTCGGCGGCGCGCTGCGCCTCCCAGGCGGCGCGGTCGTGCGTGAGGCGCGCCTGCGCGTGCCGCAGCTCCTCCAGCTGTGCGTCGTGAGTACGAGCTGCTGATCCTCCACTCATACGCCACGCGCATACCTGGGCCTCCAAGCTGGGGATTAATAACATTTTTGTATATGCACATTCGAGCTAACTGCTATTCAGAAATCCTATGACTTACCAAAGATTCAAGCATTCAAAATGATGGATTACATAATATATGAATCAGTACCTGTGTATAGTTGTGAGCTGCTGCCACACGATGCAGGTGAGCGTATACATGGCGTGTTGTAGCTTGAGCGCCGCGTCTCCGCCCACTTGGTCTAGAAGGCGGGGCTCCCCGCTCTCGTTGTTCACTTGCTCGTTTTCTGTCTCGGTGGGGTTGTCGGTCGACATGCGGAGAGTTACACCTGCTATATTATTAAAAGAAATAAATGTGACGTTGACGAACGTATTACAAGATCGCACAAACATAAGAAAATAATTTGTGTGAAAAATATATTTTCACTTGAACATGCATATTTTTTACTTACCCACTTCCCAACACGGTGTTAGTGTCATAGATAGGATAGCTCTAATCATGAGAGATGTAAAGACACAGCTTACAGTATATATCTTTAAGCCGGGTCGTGTCGAAATTATATAGGCATCTCTAAGAAGAACAGCACTAAGGTATTTGCGGGTAAGCACCACGGTACTTTTGTACTGATAAATATCGAAGGAGAATCATAGGAGGTAAAGGATATATGATTAGGTCGGTACTTTCGTGCTGATAAACACCTAAGGAGAATCATAGCGGGTTAAGGATAGGATTTGGGCACGTACCGCGGGGGCTATCATAGCGGGTTAAGGATATGATTAGGGCGGCACTTCTGCGCCGATAAAGACCTAAAGAGGATGAGTGAAGTGTTAAAGAGGTAGGTGTGGGCACGCACCGCGGGTGCGCGAGGCGTCGAACCCTGCGAAGGTGTCGGCGCGGCGCGGCAGCGCGGGCGAGTGGTACGCGGCGGAGTGTCGCTCGCCCGCCGAGCTGGTGCTGCGGCCCAGCGCGCCGCCGCCCGCCCACGCGCGCATCGACGCCTCCAGCGCCGCCTGCACGCACACGCTCGCTTACACTACTCTATATATATAACGTAGAAGGCTAGCGGCAAATATACAGCGATTTGCATATCGTTTCGATTACCGACATATATTTTTCCCCTACTTATTGGAATAAAGCAACGTTAAAGTTTACGAAAAACTTGTGTTGTGTGATCACTAGATTTTAAGCCGTTTAAATTGTATTGTAGTAACATTTAATGTCATTTTCCTGAACGGCGAATTCAATTTTTTATCAAATATACATAACATTTTTGATATCTAACTTTAAAAACAAACAAATCTTGTTATAATGGATGTAAATAAAAGAGATGATATAATTAAACTAGGACGTGCAACAGGTCGCTTTGCACGATGGTTTGTGGAAAGAGCTACTAAGCAATTTGATGGGGAGGCTTGCATACAAGCAGTACTACAGGTCATTACACATCCCTGTACGTTTAATAAAGATCATAAGATAATAACGGAGTAAAATAAAATGTATATCATAAAAAGAATATAACATAAAAATATACAATAATCATGTAGTGCGTCGCCTACACTTGTATCCAAACAAAAAAACTTTTCAGAAAAATCATTAAAATCCATTAAAATGTTATACTGTTTTATGCATACTAATGTAGGCCGTTCTTTTTCTAATAATAAATAGGTATATTTTTAATCAAAAACTGGTAATCAGATAAATAGGTAAAGAAATTAAACATACCTTAACAACTCGACAGACCTCCTGCCAGAGTGCGTGGGTATCAGCGGAAGGCGCTGATAGTCTCACGTAATCGGGGAACACTAGTCCGCCCGGGAATACTGTGTTTATACCTGTCACATAAATATAACATATTATCGTGATTACTAAACAGTAACCCAGTTGATTCCATCTGTACAAAAAAACCTATAGTATATATACCTATTTTAATTACTGTTATATTATATAGTGGTTACGAGCAGAAAGTAAATAACGCAATTCGTTAGGTTACTAATAGTAAATAAGGTATTTACCTCTCTCGATGTTCAATAGCATCGATAATAAATATATTATAGTATCGGTTAATATGTGTATGATATTTGTCGCAATCTTTAATTTAGGTAGTTGTACCGTCTGCTTGTGACAACTGGTATTGCAATCTATTAAATAGTATAGTTCCTTTTGAAAATTTACTAAAAAGTATCCTGTACATATTACGTTATTAAAGGAATTTCATGTCATAAAAGTAATAAAATTACTATTATTAGAATTTCTTAAATACTAAATAAGACTCTATTAAGATACTAAGGCAATTCATAGCCTCTTTGGCTGTTAAATTTCAATTTACATAAATTATAATTAATTATACAAAACACTGTATGCAAAATAATAACGTTAGTGATACGAAATTCCAACATTATCTAATACTATGATCTGTAGAAAAGGAATGCAGATAATTTAATAGCAGCGCAATCTACAGACAAATCTAATGCTACATTTGTGACTTTCCTTTGGATTGCAATTGAGCTCATTCGCCATTTCAGTTAAATATAATAACAATTAAAATATTACCTGTATTTGGCACATCAAGCGTAGACGATCCTGTGTGGCCGACCATTTTCATATGCAGCATCATCTTCTCTTCCAACAACGTCGCATGCTCCTTGTCCTTAGCTCTTAATGCCTCTGTGTGGGACAAAGACAGAAAACATTATAAAAACATTTATCCTACTATTAACGATGTAAAACAATTGGATGTTAGTAATATGATTGTGTATAAACTACTGAACAAACATGAATAATATTGGTACCACAGATCTACAAGACGTGATCTGAAATATATCATCTATATTCCTATGTCCTAGAATAATAAAATATACTTTTACACGCAGACAAAACTCGGCCGTATATACGGCTTACGCAGATTACAGTTGGAAAATTAGGAAAAAAAATAAACCCAATGTAATAATACTGCCATTATTTTTTTTTATTTTGTTAGTTGCATGAGCCGTAGAGTCTAGCATAATCAACTCTGCATTTGGTTTCATATAAAACACGTTAGATTTTTGACACAGGAAGATGTAAAACTATTGCGTCGATATTTGACATCGCGACGTCTTCATGCAACTTAAGAAATATAAACAATCTCTACTTACATTGTAAGGACTCATTACATTGTATTTCATTGTTGTAATGGATAAACTTAAAATATACTTAACCGATTTAAACATTTTTTACACTTATAGAAAGCTACTCAGAAAATAGTATAAAGATTCATATAATATCATGTTCATTTGTATTTGATTTAGCTCATCATTATTATAATCATCATCTACCCACCGCAGTCCACTGCTGGACATAGGCCTTTAATTTAACTCTATTTGAAGTTATTATAAACTTTATAGATAGGTCATTTATTAATTATATTGTCCGATTATTGAGTTATTTACATACACATAGAAAAAAAAACAAAGTTCTAATTGTAACTTGGCAAAAAGAAATCAAAAAACAACCTACACAAACTTAAAAATCGAACATATACTTATATTCAACACTATTATTATGGCTTTACAATAATACATAAAAATGACAAACTATACATATAACTACATATTAAAAATAAATTATAGAAATACAGCATAACTTGTGACGGTTATTCTCCTTACAAACACTAAACTTCCATAATAGAATGATTAAAAAAGTATCAGTAGCCATGGAAGTCATTCTTGCTTTCTAATTCATTTTTTCTCAACTTGCGGATACAATGAAGCTTCCCCCCGCGTACACTTAGAATGTGTAATAGAACTCCCAAATAGAGCCTGCCAAAGTTTTCCTAGAATTAAATATTTCTTAAGAGGTGCACATACATTTCTATTTGTCATATGGTTGACTAGAAGAAAACGCCTCAAGGTGTTAAGTCCGTCATGTGCACTTTTATTCGTGTACTCGTATTTGTGTATTAAAGTTTTAATAAATAAATAAATAAATATCATTTTGGCTTTGAATAAAAATGTAATTTACGTTATTTTTCTTGTTTGATTATAATGGAAAACAATATTACCAATATATATATAAATAACATTACAGATATTATGAAAGACTACTAACATGTCCTTTGTACCATGAATGACCTTTTCAAGCGGACTAACGTGATATCCTGTATATCATGTACTTATGAGTATCATCATTATCATGGTTATAGGCAAATAATTAATATAGAAGATTGATTTTATTGAACCTGTATTCAAGTTACACATTTTTAATATATTTATATTATGGATGTATAGCGTTTGTAGTATTAATAATATTCAATAAACTGACCAATTTCAAGAGTTAATTAAACAGAAATATGCAGTTGTTTTTAAATTCATCATATAATCTGAGGATGTATACAGAGAGAGAGAGGAAAAAGAGAGAAAAACAAACATGCTTCACCACTTCCATTAATGAACATTATCACTACACATGAAAACTTACTTATGATGTATATACATTGGTCAATTTATATAGGTGCAATTAAAGTGGTCTGAAGAGTTAAAATATTGTTCCACACATTTGGACTGTTCTTTGCTGAAAGGTGTTCCAGGTGTTCAATTTTGTCAATATTACTGGATTTCACAACAATAACGAACAACTCTATAATAAATTTAATAGTTTAGACATAAATACATAATTGTACACGTTATATAGAGGGGACATTCAATATGATTATATTATTCATGATATTACAAAAGTCCTGCTCACTGGTCGTCTGCAAATAACAATAACCCAGGACAATTTTCACAGCGACTTTTACCCCTAAACTAAACAGACCTGGAATTATGAGTAGTAAACGACTCATAGAAAAACCTAACATTTTGTAAATGCCTATATAACATGTGTTCTATGTACACATACCCTGAATAATACAATACAATACTAAGAATTCAACCGTGGAATCGAGACCTAGAGCATCATCACCATATGTAAAGCGGTGATCATAACTTCTGGACTATAGAGAACATCAAATATCCCAATTATATAACATGTACAATTGTAAACAACAGTGAAAAAAGATTAAAATAATACATAATACGAGTATAGCAGATATTAATTTAAATATAGAATAGATACATAGAAATCTGATAAGTGAATGACATGATATTATTAACAAATTTCTAACAAACATTATGTATATTATTTTTTTTTTGTATAAATCAACAGGCTTAGTCGCTGTCTCTGAATTATTTCGCAGTTTCACAATAATAATAATGTGAATACAAATGTTAGTATCGTGCGAGGAACCTAACCCGCGACTAACGGAAGCACGGCGGTGTGCTAAACCACTATACCGCCGAGGCAGTCGAAATAGATAACAGCTCACCTAGTTTTGAATATTTTATAACAATCAATCCAAAACTTATTACAATTATTCTAAGTTAATTATAGCTTAAACATATTTTCTTTTTCTGTTATAATGAACTCAAAAGTTATGTGTATAAAGTACATAATCAAAGATAATGCAACATTGAATTGAAAGGATGATCAAACAATTGAATGACATGCTCGCATGCAAACATATACCTATAATACCAATGGCATTACGTTAGTCACCTTCTATTTGCCACCACGGAGATTCATCTGTTTAGACAAAATTCTTTACTTGAACCATTATATTACATTTTTAATTTAATCCTATAAAAATATCATTTCTTAAATTTACAAGGAAGGAATTTTTAGGACAGATATAAAAAAATAATGTAAATAATACTGTATATTTGCAACATAATATTATATATACGAGTAAGATGCTACTAAAATATTCGCATTTTCTACTACAGGGCATAGTGTTTGTTATAAATATTAATATAATAAACCTAACTTCATGACTATGATAATTATAAATAAATAAATGATACTGGACAATTAACACAGCACCATCTAGTTCCACGGAAAGCACAGCTTATGTTATGAGTACTAGACAACTGATATAAATACTTAGATTTTTTTTTGTAAGTATATAGTACACATAGAAAACACCCTGGCCGATTCAAACAATCATACTCATGAATACAAATGTTTGCACCGTGCTAGAAATCTAACCTACGACCATCGGAAGTAAAGCGCTAATATGCTAAACCGCTAAACCACCGAGGCCGTCAATTATTAAAAAAAAAAAAATTACTCGAAATATAATACCAACCAAATTATACTGATACTGAAGAGAAAACAGTGTTTTTAAAGGCCAATTCACACAACTAGCAATATTTGTATTTATAAAGAATTAATATACAATAAAATGTGTATTAGCGACAGAAAGTTCGATCAATATCATAATGTATACATCTAACACATACTATGCCATGTAGACAGAAATACAGATAGTTAGATAACATCCTACATACTCATATATACACTGCCATTATAAACAGTAAAAATAATATATTTGTAAGTTACCAATATAAATATAGATTATTGAATATATTACCTGTGATCAGTCTTATATTCTCATGTCTCGCGTCTAGTTGTCTCTGTCTCTCCTCTGCTGAAACGGCCATCGCACCTGCTTCCGCCTCCTCGACGTCCTCGGGGCAATTTTGTACTGCGGCCCTGTATTTTTTTTTATATTATGAAATGAAACTATTTAATGTTTGCGAATTCAAATTTAGATATGACAAATTTATGTAAGGCAACCCGTATAAATGGTAGTTATTTTTTTATCAATATTTTATCCAGTTTACTTGTTGTTCACATCCTAATTATTTATCAATATCCCTACCGTCCAGTTTGGGCTGGTTATTTCAGGAGACAAATATTGCAAAGAAATTCAACTGGCTATTTTTTTAAAGTTATTTGTATGTATCGGGCACTTTAAAAGTGTATGGTCATGTGTATTCGCACTAATAATATTTTAATAGTGCCAGGAATCGAACTCAGAAACATAGATAGTGAGGCGGCGGGTTAAACTACTAGACCGCCGAGTGCAACATATCGATAAATAATAGTGCGTATCCGCAGACCTGATGGTTTGTATCCAAACCCGTAAGCGTCTCTGGTGAGGCGTTTGGTCCACCGAGTGCTATATGTCGTACCTGACGGCCTGTATCCAGGCGTGGATGTCCTTGGGGCGGTGTACGCGCAGTTCGAACATCTCCGGGTCTGCTATATGTCGTACCTGACGGCCTGTATCCAGGCGTGGATGTCCTTGGGGCGGTGTACGCGCAGTTCGAACATCTCCGGGTCTGCTATATGTCGTACCTGACGGCCTGTATCCAGGCGTGGATGTCCTTGGGGCGGTGTACGCGCAGTTCGAACATCTCCGGGTCTGCTATATGTCGTACCTGACGGCCTGTATCCAGGCGTGGATGTCCTTGGGGCGGTGTACGCGCAGTTCGAACATCTCCGGGTCTGCTATATGTCGTACCTGACGGCCTGTATCCAGGCGTGGATGTCCTTGGGGCGGTGTACGCGCAGTTCGAACATCTCCGGGTCTGCTATATGTCGTACCTGACGGCCTGTATCCAGGCGTGGATGTCCTTGGGGCGGTGTACGCGCAGTTCGAACATCTCCGGGTCTGCTATATGTCGTACCTGACGGCCTGTATCCAGGCGTGGATGTCCTTGGGGCGGTGTACGCGCAGTTCGAACATCTCCGGGTCTGCTATATGTCGTACCTGACGGCCTGTATCCAGGCGTGGATGTCCTTGGGGCGGTGTACGCGCAGTTCGAACATCTCCGGGTCTGCTATATGTCGTACCTGACGGCCTGTATCCAGGCGTGGATGTCCTTGGGGCGGTGTACGCGCAGTTCGAACATCTCCGGGTCTGCTATATGTCGTACCTGACGGCCTGTATCCAGGCGTGGATGTCCTTGGGGCGGTGTACGCGCAGTTCGAACATCTCCGGGTCTGCTATATGTCGTACCTGACGGCCTGTATCCAGGCGTGGATGTCCTTGGGGCGGTGTACGCGCAGTTCGAACATCTCCGGGTCTGCTATATGTCGTACCTGACGGCCTGTATCCAGGCGTGGATGTCCTTGGGGCGGTGTACGCGCAGTTCGAACATCTCCGGGTCTGCTATATGTCGTACCTGACGGCCTGTATCCAGGCGTGGATGTCCTTGGGGCGGTGTACGCGCAGTTCGAACATCTCCGGGTCTGCTATATGTCGTACCTGACGGCCTGTATCCAGGCGTGGATGTCCTTGGGGCGGTGTACGCGCAGTTCGAACATCTCCGGGTCTGCTATATGTCGTACCTGACGGCCTGTATCCAGGCGTGGATGTCCTTGGGGCGGTGTACGCGCAGTTCGAACATCTCCGGGTCTGCTATATGTCGTACCTGACGGCCTGTATCCAGGCGTGGATGTCCTTGGGGCGGTGTACGCGCAGTTCGAACATCTCCGGGTCTGCTATATGTCGTACCTGACGGCCTGTATCCAGGCGTGGATGTCCTTGGGGCGGTGTACGCGCAGTTCGAACATCTCCGGGTCTGCTATATGTCGTACCTGACGGCCTGTATCCAGGCGTGGATGTCCTTGGGGCGGTGTACGCGCAGTTCGAACATCTCCGGGTCTGCTATATGTCGTACCTGACGGCCTGTATCCAGGCGTGGATGTCCTTGGGGCGGTGTACGCGCAGTTCGAACATCTCCGGGTCTGCTATATGTCGTACCTGACGGCCTGTATCCAGGCGTGGATGTCCTTGGGGCGGTGTACGCGCAGTTCGAACATCTCCGGGTCTGCTATATGTCGTACCTGACGGCCTGTATCCAGGCGTGGATGTCCTTGGGGCGGTGTACGCGCAGTTCGAACATCTCCGGGTCTGCTATATGTCGTACCTGACGGCCTGTATCCAGGCGTGGATGTCCTTGGGACGGTGTACGCGCAGTTCGAACATCTCCGGGTCTGCTATATGTCGTACCTGACGGCCTGTATCCAGGCGTGGATGTCCTTGGGACGGTGTACGCGCAGTTCGAACATCTCCGGGTCTGCTATATGTCGTACCTGACGGCCTGTATCCAGGCGTGGATGTCCTTGGGACGGTGTACGCGCAGTTCGAACATCTCCGGGTCTGCTATATGTCGTACCTGACGGCCTGTATCCAGGCGTGGATGTCCTTGGGACGGTGTACGCGCAGTTCGAACATCTCCGGGTCTGCTGGTCCGCTGCAGATGAGGTACAGTCCGCGCCCCTCCGCACCCGCCTTCTCCCGCACCAGCAGCTTCACCAGCGACACCACGCCCGTCTGTAAACATCCACCATACTCATATAATAATAAAAAATAGTTTACCATATAGATACTGCAATTGAAAACACACAAGAAATCCTCTAAATATTATAGATATAGCTATGAAAACACAAGAAATCTTCAAAATATTCTATCAACTGAATACAGAAAAAAAGACTAAATATACTGATGTCGCAATACAACTAAAAATGAAATGTATATAAAATGTCTTTTATGTATAAAAAAATATATAATTACCTTATTATCAGGAGTGTAGAAAGTATACTTGTTGTTATTGTCGTGAAGAAAGAAAAGTACATCCGTCAGTACGACAACGAATAACGTCTGCATCTTACTGCGACCCTGCATGAGCGTCGCTACGCCTTCAAACCTAGAACAGCATTAAAATGAATAAACATGTGAACAAACAATAGTCAGGTATCAAAGCAATTAAAGGTACTTAATAGATTTATATTATTTTGTTTAATTCCGCTACAATTAGCATGTGCGAGACCACAAATATTCAGTGTGGAAACTTGACTACCATTACAACCTCCTCTAATGGCGATCAAATTCCGGCCGTTATTGAGACTACACCCATATTGCGACACGAGTTTCAGCTCTGAATGAGGCGTCATTAGGCAATGAATAAAGTTCGGATATAACTTGCAAGCCTAATGTTGACTGTTCGGAAACCAAATCACGACTAAAGGTGTTAAATACTGTGGGCTCATCTGCAAATCAGCGCTGGAAACTATATTTCCAGTATTATGGTGAGCTGTGGTCCACATTGACTCTGTTTTATAAATTGTTGCTTGTATTTTATGTCATTATATCAATGTCAAGACGAGTCAATAAAGTTATATTCTACTATATGCTCTACGAAAAATATATTACACCTTAAATAGAAATGTTAAACAAGTATTTGATGATATATTAAGACAGAACTAATATAATATTATTTGATAATCAGCATTCATACGCTGATAATAATGTAGAGTGTTATATGTATATAGAAGTTAGTATATAAATGTGTATATAACACGTACATGTAAATTCTTTATATTATAAAATAAATATATTTACATAAAATGTAAAACTTCATAAAGTTAGTTAAAAGTTACATAAAATATTACTCACATTAAGCTCCGGTTGCCTTGCAATATATCGCTCTTTTTAAACTTGCGTCCTCGGAAGTTAGCGAAAGATTTCGCGTCTATCCTATGATAAATTTCGAGTTTGCGATCTTCTCTCTCTTTAGCTGCCACTTGATTGTCTACGTCCACAAGGATTTCCTGAACAAATTTACACATAGATTTCAAATTAATTCACAACACACAGTACACAAAAGATCTTATAGTACCGGGAGTTTGGTCAAATTGTACCGAACAACAGATCTATTCTTAACTGTTGTTAATTCAAATCTAATTAAATACAGTATACCCTTTGTAATCATACCTAAAAAAATCCTTTTGGTTCTATCAATCACAAAATAAGAATCTGCTAATTGACTAGTTTTTTTTTAATAGTTTGAAACTAGTCTTGACTACTGCTCTGTAGCTATATAGTATAGTAATTATACAATACGATATAATTATATTGATACCTTAACTCCACAGAGCGCCTTCTGTAAAAGTTCCCGTTCATTCACATCATCGCCGGCCGTTTTCAATAGAGGCTCTAATAGCAGCGGATATTTTGTTAATCTTTGCGCCACGAAAAGGACACATTCTGGAACACCCTGTTAATAAAAACCATTTATTACTAGTTGACTCGCACAATTTAGTCTGGGGCACAAGTTCCCCTTTTTTTGCAACATTATTCATCTGAGCGTGATGTTATATACCATCGATAAATGGGCTATCCAACTACTAAAAGTTACCCCAAACATCGAAACTCACAAAGTTTACCGCGTAGTATAAAGTAAAGCCAGAATCGAACTTGACTTTCTGATTGAAGATAATTAGAAATCAACATGTAAACTGAACAAAAATGTTGAATCGATAATTTTAAATTAAAAGTTGTCTATAAATTATTACTTTAATCTTAATTAAAATTAGTAATTAGTAATACTAATTGGAAAGATGCAGGTGTTTCAGCTGTCTGTAAAGTATTATACAGAAATAGTATAAAAAAATACATCCTCAACTATTAAGTGTATATGTAGTATATTTTAATTAGTCTATAAATAAATAATACCTTTTTCCTGAGCATAGGGTTCTGTTGACACTTGCGGATGAAACGTGCGAGTCGGGGCTCCCGTGTGCAACATTCTTTGAAGACCTCAACCGCATCCCGATGTCGTGAGCAAAATTCACCTGAATAGCAATCATATTAACATTAATTTCACGTAACACTTTCAGCGTTTAATAGACTAGTGGCGGCTAAATTATTGTATTGTGTTATTTGTGTTCGCATATAAGAGATAAATAAGTACAGTATTATGCCATTTTGAAACAGTTTAATTGATTTTCTAGTCACGCGTCTACTTAAGTAGGACCAAATAGGTGCCCTAACAACGTTGGTCTTGCCCTACACCGTCTATAGGACGGACCAGCGCCGCCAGATTGGACACCGACTAGGTTCTATTCTTAGCAGTCGTAGAAGGGGATAGCAACGGTGCCCCAGATCGCTGTATTGGCCTGAAGCGTGACCGCGGGCGGCATGGCGGGCGGCGCGAAGGCGTCCGCGAGTATGTCGGCGACGGAGGCGACGCGCGCGTGGTCCCGCTGCGAGTGTTAATGTAGCGTGTAGTGAGAGTACGCACCGTACGCGGACTTGAGGCGCTGCATGGCGGGCGGCGCGAAGGCGTCCGCGAGTATGTCGGCGACGGAGGCGAACGCGCGCGTGGTCCCGCTGCGAGTGTTAATGTAGCGTGTAGTGAGAGTACGCACCGTACGCGGACTTGAGGCGCTGCATGGCGGGCGGCGCGAAGGCGTCCGCGAGTATGTCGGCGACGGAGGCGACGCGCGCGTGGTCCCGCTGCGAGTGTTAATGTAGCGTGTAGTGAGAGTACGCACCGTACGCGGACTTGAGGCGCTGCATGGCGGGCGGCGCGAAGGCGTCCGCGAGTATGTCGGCGACGGAGGCGACGCGCGCGTGGTCCCGCTGCCGCGCGCGCAGGCGGGCCAGCAGCGCGGCGTGCAGCGCCCACAGCTCGTCGAGCCGCGGGAACATGCGCGCCACCTGCGCCGCGCCCACGCCCGCCGCGCGGCTCATGCCCGCCGCGAACATCTGCGACCGCGCCCCCAATATATTTTGTTTTTTATTTACGGCTCTGGCGAACCGCCATACGACTCGTCTGGTCGTAAACGATTACCGTAGCCTGTGGAACGTCCATAGGCTACTTCTTCTACGAGTCGTCATATGTAGCGTCACACATCATTTGCGCGATTCAACTGCGCGCTTACGCCCAGCGCAACGTGAGCGCCTCGGAGAGGCAGGAGAGGAGTATTTACATCTCACTCATTGCATATGACATGTTCATTTGATAATATAACAATCATATAATGTTAGACACATAACTTGTTATTATTATTTCCAAATTAAAGGTACCACAAATACGACTAAGATAGTAGTTTCATTCTACTTATACTGAGCTACTATAGCTATATATATATATGTAGAGTTACGATGACGAAAGTTAGCAAAAACTAAATTATAACCATAACAAAAGAAAAAAATAGAATACATTCTGTACAATTCAAAAATTAAATGGAAATAATTAATTACCTTTTGCATAAGACGTATAGTGAGACAGTGATGTTTCTCAGTCAATATTAGTTCGTAAATGTGTTCCTGTCGCTTTGTCTCCCGTTCGCCAAGCGACCTGAAATTACAGATAATACAAAATCATGTATTAAATAAACAGTTACATCATTATTTACCAGTAACTGTTCGGATAGTACCGAAACTATAAGTATAATGTACTGTATATAATGTACGATGCAAGCGCGTACAGTAACAGTATATTATAAACCTCATTCAATAAAAATCCCATGTGCTGGGATTTTTATTCTCTTCTTTTTATCTTCCTCCCGTGGTGTGTGTGTGCGTGTCTCACTTGGCGAGTCCCTTGGGCGCGCCGGCCGCCCAGGTGTCGGGCTCGACGGCGCCCAGCCCCAGCAGCGTGGCCTCCTACATGTGTGTGTGTGTGTGTGTGTGTGTGTGTGTGTGTGTGTGTGTGTGTGTGTGTGTGTGTGTGTCTCACTTGGCGAGTCCCTTGGGCGCGCCGGCCGCCCAGGTGTCGGGCTCGACGGCGCCCAGCCCCAGCAGCGTGGCCTCCTACGGCTGTGTGTGTGTGTGTGTGTGTGTGTGTGTGTGTGTGTGTGTGTGTGTGTGTGTGTGTGTGTGTGTGTGTGTGTGTGTGTGTGTGTGTGTGTGTGTGTGTGTGTGTGTGTGTGTGTGTGTGTGTGTGTGTGTGTGTGTGTGTGTGTGTGTGTGTGTGCGTGTCTCACTTGGCGAGTCCCTTGGGCGCGCCGGCCGCCCAGGTGTCGGGCTCGACGGCGCCCAGCCCCAGCAGCGTGGCCTCCTACGTGTGTGTGTGTGTGTGTGTGTGTGTGTGTGTGTGTGTGTGTGTGTGTGTGTGTGTGTGTGTGTGTGTGTGTGTGTGCGTGTCTCACTTGGCGAGTCCCTTGGGCGCGCCGGCCGCCCAGGTGTCGGGCTCGACGGCGCCCAGCCCCAGCAGCGTGGCCTCCTCGCCCAGCTGGTCGGCCGATAGGTGGATCTCGGGCCACTCCGCCAGACCCGCCTCGTCCGACGCACTGCAACCACGGTCAATTAAGGTAAAGCGTCACACACAAGACAGTGGGTTATAATGGAACTATGTATTGGTCCCATTGCCAACTATACACTCTTAGTGGTTATGTATTAAATAAACACAAATAATTAACAATAATAATAATAACACTGGACAATCCACACAGCACAATTTTTTAATTGGGGCTATTGTCACGTGCTAAGACCTGTAACACTGCGACCTGTATGGATCTATTGTGCTCGCCCTTATTCAAAGTTCACTACCTAGACCCGTGAGGGACAAAAATTGAAGGATATTCTTAGGAGTGATGGTTTTTATCTCCTCAGGATATAGTGTATGCTTTCCAAAGGAGATATTTCGTTTATGCATGAGAGGGCTACAACCACATAGGCTGTGTAGTAGCACTATCTTAGTCTTATAGTAGTTTATAATTAGAAATAACTCGTAATAAATAATATGAAAACAATTTGCACACTCACTTGCTCTGATCGTGCCTATGATCGGATCCTTCCTTATCGTCATTGTATATATGACTTGTGCTGAAATTAAAACACACAATATTACGTAATGCAAATGTACAGACTAAAGACATTTAATTACCAAACAGAATTTTGAAAACATCGGAATACATGCCACCAATGCAAGATGACAATTCAAACAGAAACCAAGATGCTTATTCACATATAATTTTAATAGAATATTCAAGTGAATGATATACAGACAAATAGTGCCGTTAAGGCTAATAAATAAGATTTATTATCGTCTGTCGAAATATTTTATCAGCTTTATTTCTTTTGTGAGCGACACGCAATAGTTTTCTCGTATATTGAAAACCATCAAAAATGATTATAATAAAAATCTAGACACTGAACCCTATTACTCTAACTTTCTCCTATATGAATTAAAGTCTAAAATTCAACTTTATAGGTTATACTTCCTGACCCCCTACTCCATCATAGTAAGTAAGCAACAGAAACTTCCATAAGATATAGTGTTGCCAGATTTTCATATGAATGAAAGTTGTTTCTAATTAATATTATTCAAAACATTTTGTAAATATTTACTTCTATTATTCCTTATCCTTCTCCTTCCTAATCTTATACATCCTTATTCCTTCTCTAATTCTTCCTTGTATTTAAAAGATATAGTAGGTACAACAATCCTTAGACAGATATATTTTGAAAAAATAAAGTTTTACAACCATTTGGCGCGAAACTGAATCAATGTTGCCATACGTGAAACACAAACAGGGTCAATATTCATTCGACACAACAAGTGATTTACAAAATGTAGGGTGCTGCCAAACTATCTGCTTTCCCTTCTATAGGGCACAGTATTATATGTCAATATTACGTTAAGGCTAGACTTTTTGGTCACAAATGTCATTAATTTAAAAAAAAATGGAAGATTTGCCTTAAAAATGCAAACATACCGTTTTGTGTAAATTGCACTTTTTTTAAATATATAGTTAATCGAATCTTAAATATGTAAAATAAAAATCCTTTATTATCGTAATATATATACAAGTAACACAATGCCTTACAAAAGGAAATGCTGATAATTTTGTAGCATCTTATAAAATAAGTATGATAAACGTACTTCCATTGAGTACAACAGTAATACAGTATACCAGTGTAAATTAATTTATACATTTAAATTCAGCAAAGCCTAAATAATAAAAAGAAGCAACCAGAAAGACGTCACTTATACAATAACTTTATGTAAATAGAAAAAAAAGAGACCATGCAAATTTTATTAAAAAAATAACGCTTTCGAAATGTCTCAACTACAAAACTTTGACAGAATTTGATAGAACAATTCACCTAAATACGTGAAAAATAAATCATATAACATAATTTTGAAATAAATCAAGTCTATTCAATAAATGGACTGGTAATATAAAAAACCTAAATCTTATCTCAGATGAATACTAAATTAGTACTGAAAAACTTATAGACATTATTCAAGTAAAATTTTCGGGAAATAATCTAGACACGCGTTAGCGTGTCAAAGCCGAGTTCAAGTAAGGGAACTGGCGAGCAGCACCGTGTGTAGTTTTCTATATATTTCTTGATTATTCGATATATTATGCGATGAGTCTGCTTTCCGAATAAGCGGTAGAACCAAGAAAATATTATATTACTATTAAAAAATGCTTGTATAAAGTATATTTGACTAAGAATATTTTTATTTCCTATACACGTTTTGCTATAATTAATATAATGCTACAATATACAAAACCTGATTAACATAAAGTACACATAATATTTTACATTTTAATAGCCCTATCGAGTCCATTGATTGAATAGAGATAATATACAAATTCAGCGAAAAAACTGTTTACAAACCAACCAAGTGCTACGACATCAATGTTTTCAAGAGAAAATTTTTCTACCTACGTATAGAGAGAAAGATACACAAGTAAGGCGTCGTGGATGATTCGAGAACGATCTAGAAGATTCAGTATCTGATGTGTGATTAGCGAAGTGTAAAACCGCGATAAGCACGTTTTGTAACGATAGAATTTTTAAACAAAGAATGTATATAATTTTTGTTTAGTTCTTTTTAACAATTAAAACCTTTAGACACAAAATGATATAGTAGCATAATTAAACTTGTGTTCTACGTGTGTACGGCCAGTGTGAATGATATTTGATATTAAGGGGTAGGCACATAGATGCCTTTATGTGGTCACGTTCCCTACGTAGATCAAAAAAATAGGACTTCATCTCTATGTTATAAATACATAGCCGTGACTGACTGGTGTATCAATACACTCTACTCAAAATTATTATAAAGAACAGGGTAGCATAACACTATGATTCATTTTACGAAATTCCCGAAATATACGAATAAACCGGAATTAACTAATTCTAACATAAAAACACGAATATTTATATATAATATGATATCGAGTGATATCAAAATTCATTTACCTAATAAAGTAACGTCTTAAAAATAAAAAATAAGTAATTTATAGAAATATCTATCTCACTGCTCAAGTTTTAACCTAAAGACCCTCGTCATACGTGGTAGGTATAGAGAGAGACAGAACAATGGCGGTGATGTATGTATGATGAGAGAGTTAGAAAGAGGCAGCTGTATATCGCAGCATTCCCGACTTACTGCACGCCGAGCTTGGTCGCGACGCGCCGCCACGGCGAATAGCATCCGCTCTGCTTCTTGCTGTGTGCGTGCCACGGAAACGAATGCGAACACACGTGTACATATGTGTGCGTGGCAGGTTGTTAGCGGCACGTGACGCGGCCGGACGACTCGAGGTGGCGTTGGTTCATTCTAATTATTTTTTACATCCCTAACATTTATATATCGTATACTAGCTGACCAGCAAACGTAGTTTTGTCATATAAATTTATATCGATATTAAAAAGTCGGTGGTAGAACGGTAAAATATAAGATTATGTATTTATTAATGTTGTATCATAAAAAAATACAAATTCTGTGCCCAATTTTTTTTTTTGGGTGGGCCACCTTATTATCGTGACTTATTCTCAGACCTACCGAGTGTAGATATAATACTTCATCAAACTCGGTTATACCGTTTCGAATAAGTATGGCAACTAACAGTGTGTCACGCAAATTTTACATTTATAGACTATTTTGTATACCTATTACATTAGCATTGATAAATATTATTGACTTTTTTCATTTCATAACTAAACCTTTATTCACAATTTTTGAGCTATTGTATGCATTTGAAAGTGAGGAACTGTAATAGTTGAAAAATAAGTTTATATTTTTACTTTTAATAAATAAGAAAATGTACCATATATTTTATTAGTGTCATTGTAGTACTTTATTTTCAATAATAAAATACAACTTCAAACAGATAACTGAATCCTTCTCAAACTTAAACTAAACATGATTATCGAATTCATGAGAATTGTTTCATTTTTGTGGTAGCTTTAAAGGTCTTTTTATTGCTGAACATTTCCTCATAATATCGCTGTATTATTGAGAATTACTAGTACATTCATTCATTTATACATAGATCGTAGTCTTAAGTTTTAATAAATTTTCAATTATATATACATTTATCTTCAAAGTATAAGATATAAATTAGTAAATAAAAGCTAATTACGAAACGCCACATCAATTCGTCCGCATTTGCAAATGATTTCCTTTATAAGAAGACATTCCGTTCACCGTAACAAAACTATATAAACAACTAAAATATAGCTTACAAGAAATAGCGTATAGCCGAAAAATCGAAAATAGAACATAAAAAAATATATACAGGGAAAAACTGGCAATGGTACAAAGCAAAAAGAGTGTTATAGAGAAATAATATTATAAAAAGTGTAAATAGAGAATAAATTCACTATAAAATCGTTGTGTCACATACTTGTGTATCTTCTTATAATTAAATCATAAAATAAACCTCACACTGACAATGAATTAGACTGCACACCTATATATACCTACAGCTAAACAAAACTTTTTCCATTGTACACATACTGTATAAATCCTTTAAAACCTCCTGCGCAATACATATAAAACTCCGCACATTTGCACGCAAAACAAATCCAAAATGCAATAACGTAAAACTGCGTCATCCATGTTGGCATTATTTCGGTGTGCCTTTGTCAGGTAACCTTGCAACAATGAAAAAATAAAGCAGCAAAATATACGCCATACAAATTATATTTAAAATCTACGCCCATATCTTTATGGTACAATGTAATGTTTTTAATTTTATATTTCTTTTTTAATTGACCGTGCCAATTGCAAAGCTGCGTTCCAATTTAAGTTTAAATATTTAAGTTTAGAATTGTTATTACTTTTTAAATGGCTGCAACTAACATAGATACTTACCTATTTGATGTTTGTGACTGGCCCGATACTGAGCTTCGCTTGCCGCTTTTACCGCTGTTCGCAGTCAATGATTTACCGACTGATGTCTATAATATAAAATGTATGTAATATAAAATATATATAAATTCTTAAGAGACAAATAAGTAAATGAAATAATAAATATCCCATTTTTCATAGTCAGTAATTTGTAACAACTGGTGGACGCAATAATAATGTTTATTATAAATATGACACAAACCTTTGAAGATTTAGGCTTGTTGCAATCGGCAATGCTGTCTTTGCATACATTTTGATGTACTGTCATGGTGCAATCTGAAAATAAGTAAATAATAGATATAAAAAACAATAACTATTTCTTGCAAATGGGAAAAATATGTAATTACAATAAAGAATATTTTGAAGTTTATCTTTATCTCATAATTAATTCGCTAGAATATCTAAACTAATATCATTCATATAGAGAAAGTTTTTGAGCTTTTTGTTTGTAAAGGATACGAAACATTTAACTCATTTTATAAATACTTTCACCAACTGTAAGCTGCATCAAAGATAACATGGCCTACAAAGGCGTGATATGACGGCTCATCGGAAGCGGTGGAAGATGATGACATAATCTACTTCGCCAATCCCAAATCATGGCTTTAAGGCACGGCTATGATAAAATATGCATAAAAAAGGTAATGTCTATAAAACAAAAAGACTACTGTGCGACCAGTAGTATAGATTAATAAATAAATGCCCCCATGTAAAGCCGGTGCGCATCGCTAGTATAGAATAGTGTGATGTGGCACTAACTTTCACAGTATAATGAAGGTTTGTCAGTGAGGGGTCGGCTGCACCAGTCGCAGTCTCCGCCGCTGCCGGCCGCCTGCCACACGTGGCTCGCTTTACGGGACTTGTCCTGAAACGGTACAAACATTCAATACCTGTGTTGGCGACATACCTCTTTATAAAATATACTTATTTTGAACCATGATTTCATATACAATTTTTGATATTTAATATGGTAGGTATGGATACCTACCATCCCATAATAAGTCTATACTTTTTTTTTATTTTACACCTTTCAATTTTCTTAAAATAAAATACAGTGTATATTACACGCAATCTGTATTTTTTTATCATAAACATATGATGACTCCATACACAGTAATTTCAATGCCATACCTCACGCTGCAAACTGAGAAACTGATTCTCTTTTAGTTTTTATAACATTCAGTCTTTGCAGTTAAAATAATTGAGACAGAAACACCCATAGAGACAACTTTCTACAAAGTCTACTTCTAGTAAAAGTACAAACAATAAAAAAATTATATTTGCTTAATTTCTCTAACCAATTCCTGTGTATGTTCTCTGATACCTGTTTTATCTACATAGGTGTATGTATGACAATATCATTTAGATTAATTTAATTTTCTCAACTTATTTCCACTTACGCACCACCTACTCTATTTTTTCTAAATATGATTTTTTCAAAGATTGTCTGAAAGAGATTGCATTCATCAATAAAGTGTTATAAATAAATAAAATTATTAAAAATAAGCGTATATTAATTACCTTCTTCTTCCTGAAGAACAGACTGCCCCGTTTCCGTCTCTTTTCCGCATGATGATCAAACGCCGCTCTGTATGAAAAATAAGCAAATTTACACATTTAAATTAGAAAAAAAAACCTTATTCGAAATATAAATTTAATATAACGTATAAATAATATATTATTGTATTTATTTATAATAAATTATTGAGATTTTATTATTATTTTATTAATATTAATAAACTGCGTATGGCTCTAACGTGCGAGTAATGAAGCAAAAACATTTAAACCAGTAACAACATACATTAAGCGTAGTGGTAACATGCACATTATCCTCAATTTGGTGCTTAAATTAAAAAGAAAACAGTATAATAGTGTCAATAACGTGAATATAAATCTGTCCGGTAGTACTTACCTAACAAAAGATAAATGAAATGATATCTGTTTTATCCTTTTTAAAATGGTATAATACATGAATCAAATCGATTCAGATACTAAAAAAATATATATGATAACAGAAGAATTTTTCTTTTTTCCAGTCAGTTAATTGCTGTCAAAAACATATGATTATTACAAATGGAATGAGAAACCATACAAATGTATCTAATATAATCTTCAATTTAGTGGTCTTAGGCAGATTATATCGCTGGAAATCAAACTTACTTATTGCTGTATTATTAAAATTTACTGTACAATATTACGCTGTATAAAATAGTTTAATTCAATACGAGAGCAAAGCAAACGGGTAATATTTTCAACTCAACCACTGTACTGCAATATCGTAGTTATTTCGAACATTTGAAAGTGAATGTTATTTTTATAGTAATAATAAAATACAAATTTCCAGGCCAACCAATGGCTATGACCATAGCCCAGACCGCACCTGCAAACAAGTTGAAACACATAAGCGCGCGTCACACTCACTGTTCGAGGAAGGCGAGGCGATGCAGCCCTAGATGTTCTTGGTGGGTGTTGTTCCTGCGGCCCGGCAACTGCGCTGTGGCGCCCACCGTGGCCGCCGACGTCTCCTCGTCGCTCTCTGTCTCACTCGCACCACCCGTCGACAAGCTAACACCGAGCGAGACGGACATATAGCGAGACTAGCGCGGTTAGCAATCCAATCGACTGATCGTATTCGAACATTGCATTTTGAATTATGAATACATTACGAACCACGCTAAGTCTAAATTTGTGCGAATAACAAAGTCAACACCGGTTCTGGCCGGTTTTGTGACCTCTGTTTGAGCAAAGCATACAGTGCACATAATAAAAAAAAACACATAATTGACATGCACAAAGGTTTTATCATGCAAAAAATATATATTTAGGGGCACAATTAACCCGTTCAAATTCCATTTTTTTCTAATGATTTCGGCATTCAATATTTTCTAAAATAAAATTTAAACCGGTTAAATTGCTCCAAAATATTGATAGTTAATTTCTTTAATTGACGTGTTTATGTACTTATATGTCAACTTACTTTACAAAGACCTAGTAAGTATTTTGGAAAATAATATCTACTATTTTCTTTTTTACGATCGTGTTTTCAATATGAAGTCTAATTCAAAGGTATTGTCAATTGTATAATTATTCCTGACAATATAATAGAAAGTCACTATAAAACAAATAAAACGGAATGAACATGCTCATAATGCATAAGTCAGAGTACAATGGTCAAAGGACAACTATTGTTAATCGATGACCTAATTATATTGTTAAAGGAAAGAATTATGTTCTAAGGTCTCATAAATACTGTTTAAACTATTGTATACACTTTTGTTATTATAGGATTAATATATAAGATAATTTATTACTAACAACCTGTTTCATCTTTGTATGGACGCAAACAAATTTTTAAATTTTTTGTTTTGTTTTATACAATAACACTTATCTATTATTATATATATAAACCTTCCTCTTGAATCGCTCTATTTACTACTGAAAACTGCATTGAAATCCGGTGTGTAATTTAAAAGATATCAGCGAACAAACAGCGAGTTTACTTTATACTATGTAAATATTATATAGAAAGTTTCAGTCGACCGGGGAAATCCCGTAGGGGAACCCCCGCGTGTGACGTGATAGGCGTGTATACTGACGCGTTGGGCGGCGGCTGCGGCTGCGGCGGCTGCACGGCGGCCACGATGCTGGGCGTCGACACGGACTTCTGCAGCGGCAGCCGCGCCGCCAGCCGCGCGCCGCCCGCGCCCGCCCCCGCCGCGCCCGCCCCGCACCCGCCCCCGCCCGCCCCCGCACCCGCGCCCGCACCCGCCGCGCCCGCGCGCAGCGCCGCGCTCACCTTCTCGAAGTCCTTCTGTTGCACACAGTAGCCGCTATGTACATTAACTGACAATAATAATCTCAACACAAGCATAAAGCATGTGTTATAGGCACTAGACGACTGATGGAAATACATTTTTTGTCGTAAATACATACATATTATACACAGAAAACACCCAGATCGATACAAACGAACTCATGAATATAAATATTTGTGCCGTGCGGGGAATCGTACCCGTGACCGTTGAACGTAAAGCGTGTTAAACCGCTAGAACATCGAAATCGTCGAATCAGACCAATTCACATGTAAGTGTAGACATAGAACGAGAAAGACCGCGCTCGCGCTTCCGCCCACGACGCCAACACGGAACGCCGCGCTCACCTACTCGAGTCTTTCCGTTACACACGCAATACAATACGAGTACACTTTATTAAAACCCTCTTCACACTACTCCTTTTCTATAAACATGTATAGAAACATCATATAAGCTACCTTTACACGAGACTTCTTTCACGCGCGATTAGGAACGCGCGCGATTTAGCACAGGAAACCCAGCGTGCATCATGAATGTTTGCATTTTACACTTTTTGTGATAATTCTTTCGCGCGTGATAACACGTATGTTACAAATCATTTTTCTTCCTTTTAAAATTTTATTGTAATATACACAGATTTATTAGCTATTGTGTACTGCATGTACTAACCGCTAGATCGTTGTCGTTTAGCGAGTGTGTGGAATGTCGCACCGGTCGCGGCACTTCGCCCTCCGACTCCATCGATGACAGTGACGCGCTGTGCCCATTCAGGGTGCTGTAATAATATCACACTTTTTTATTTTTATTTTCTATTACCTAACTAGCTGTACCTGCGTTATAACCTGTATTATTGTAATGTATAAGCTATTGTTCAAAGCCGTTAGTTTCTGTCCCCCCACTTTTCATCTCTTACCTATGACAGTAGGTACAGACCGCCTAATCACGTGCGTCCACATTCCCTAATTATAATTAATATCAATTACCAACTAAGTGCAAAGTGAATGAAAGCTAGTGAAAACATCATGCTGGCCCGTGTTAAGAATCCTAGGAAACCTTATCTGGAGCATACAAGTACAAGACAGACGCTTCATTACTACATTTTCCCTAACAGCTATGTTATTGTAAAGTTTCATTAAAATCCATTCAGTAATTTTTGCGTGTATCAAACATCCATCCACACTTATAAAGTTTCGCGTTTATAATATTAGTAATATTACAATAAATTAACCTGCGCTGACGGTGCGGGTCGACAGTACGGCCGCCGGGCTCCAGAGCTGCCCACGAACTCCTGCGGCCTTCGTCCCTCCTCTCCCATAAACACCATTGTCGAGATTCACCTGTGATGCACAAATAATTATAACGGTGAGAGAGAAAGAAGCTAACTTCTCAGCATTCCATGGATTCACAATACGGGCGTGCTGAGTCCATCAAGAGGAAGAGAGGGAAACTCCGCGCAGTTCCCGGGTCTTGTAACCCAGGTGTAGGTTTAAAAGGGTCTTGACTTCAACACTCATCTACACCGCTCGTGTTTCGATAGTAAGCATAGTGTTAAGCATAGGTAAACATTATATATTTAAAAGTGTTCTATTATAAAACTATAATCGTAAGAGTTGCGGATAATTATTGGACGAGAATGGCTCAAGATCGTGCCCAGCGGCATGCCTTGGGCTCTCCCAAGTTCAGTCCACCTATGTTCAGAAGTGGACTGCAGAGTGGCCTGATGGTGATGATTATGATAATTAATTGTAAGAGTTCTAAATACACATGTTATGTTGGACTTACCGCTGCCCTTCCGACTTTGCGGGTAGAAGTCCAAATTAATAGGCGACGAGCAATCCGGCTCGGGAGCGCCATCTTTACATAACGATGGACACGATGTACTGAGTCTGCTCGATCCATTTCCCTGTATCAAATTATATTTCAAAATTAAAATGTATACACATAGCATATTCAAAGGTGTTCCTCTCTCGTAAGCAAAGCGAGCGAAAGAAAATAGAATTGTAGTCTTTAAAAGGTTAAATTATTAAATTATAATTTCACATGCATATATAATAAATTATATATTATAAATTAACAATACACATGGACTCAGTAGTGTAGCAATTTAATTAAATGAAATTTGAAATGTAGGTCTGCTGTAGCGTCTGCTTATCTGTTACAGTACGACTGCTAAATCCTTTTCCACTAGAATTAATATTAACAGTCAATAATTCTTTAAACCTATTTTTTAATATTTTCTTTTCTCTTTTATTCTTCGGGTTGATTACAATTTCTTAACCACCACTATGTAAAAAAGTGATGTACGTATTTCTTCTCAAGGCATTAGGACAGAAAGAGTTAGGAATATATTACCACTAGAGGTAGTGGAGCTGCGCGCATCCGCTGCACCGCCACATGCAGCCGTCGTAGCTGCTGTATGCTATCATCAAGCACGCCAGGACTGTGGGGAGTCACGCTTATTGTTGGCACCTGTACAGTAATAAAACAAAAAAATCGATTTCATATATACTAGAACCTGTCAAAATACTAGAATCCAGAGTAAACCTCAAGTTAAAATATCAGTCAGACAATCTATGATAATAAAGTCTATGATTTATTCATTGAGAGATGGCGCCACCTTCGTGCCCCCCCACCAATATGCATAGGGTATAAAGATCGGAAGGAGAACGGAAACGGTATACTCCTCCGATCGATCCCCCGTCCAATTCAAACGGGGACCGATATTACGACGGCCTGAGCCAAGGTTCGAACCCCTAGCAGTGCCCTCAGACTAAAGTCGTATCCGTCAGGCGGGAGTTGGCCTTCAGCCCAAGTCAAGTTCTTCCGCGGGTTTGGAGTGCCATCTGTACTCGCCCCCTTTCGTCCGGTGAAGCTGTAAAGGCCAGCTGCGACCAACAGCATTAGAGTGGTCCGAAAAAAAAAAGGAAACGGTATTCTGTGCAAGGCAGCCGAGACTACTGGATTCGGAATCCAAATTACTCTCACTATACTATGTAGTGTGAGTTGAATGTGAAATAAAAATCAAGTACCGCTATATCCAAGTACCATATCTGAAATTCCCAATATGAGTTAGTCGGATAACGTCACCAAGAATTAAATACGATGGATGATGGTGATGGTTTCCAGAGGTCGATCTCATAGAGTATGTTATTAGCCTTTCTCCCCTCCACGCATGCTTTGTCTATGACACTATTTTTATTACCTGTGCCCTGGCGGCGGCCATGTTTGTTGGTGGCGTGGAGCGGGTCACGTGCTCTGTCACCTCGTCCTCGCTGCTGTCGGAGTGTAAGTCCGAACTGCCGCCGCCTTCGTCTGGAACAAAAACAATTTAATTTAATTATTAATAGGATAAAGTCTATTTTTTATATAAGTAGAAAGGCCAATGAACTGACAGAAATTAGAATACAATACCAAGGTACCTAAAATAACAAATACGAAAGTGCGAAAAAATTGTTCATAATATGCGACCTATAGTCCTGAGATTACCGCGTTAAAACAGACACACATACGCTTTTTACCTGTATATCTTAAATATATTAGTTTATTATCTAAATAAACTACCCAGTTTCCCAATTCAACTTTGAGTATACTAATAAAACTACAGATAAATAGGAAGTTGGAACAGCTAATAAATCTCGATCCATTTCGAGTGGGCTATCAATGGGGCAGCACGTCGGTAGCGAGGCCGGATATTGGCATAAAGTCGAACGTCCGATCCGACGAGATCAGCCTTTGTATGGACATACACCGATATTAAACTGGGGATAAGCTACAAATGGGACATCAAGCGTCTCTCTTCGTATTTACGTACAGTTTGAGTTTGAGTATAAAGATAATAATTTATATACAAAAAAAAAATATTTATGACAGTTGTCTAGTACTCATAACATACGCTCTGCTTACATTGGGACTAGATGAGTCCAGAGTCATTCTTATTCATTAAAATAAATACTAAAGCGATTTGACATTTCTCTGAAAATACAGTTCAGTCTTTAATTAGAATTATATACATAATAACTTATACAATAGTTGTTTTGTATGTATGTAATTTCACTGTCATACTGAACGTTCGACTTTGAACACAGCAGCATCAAACTCCAAATTTAGAAACGTTACAGAAACAAAACAAGAGAAACGCAAATTGTTACCCTCTCCTTTTCGAAGTCGATTAAAAAGGAGACTGTATTTGACCTATATCGATTACAGACAGGTTCATAAACAAAACGGATAGCATACAAGGCGTACCGGATATCCGTGGGGACCGACGCGACGCTATGCGGATATATAACTATATAGCGAGGTTCATTGTAGTACATACACATACACTGATATATTCATACTGAGAGCCTCGGTGGTCTAGTGGTTAAGCGTACCGCCTTATTTCCTTTGCGGGTTCAACTCCTAGCACAGTACAAACATAGTCGCCTGGGTCGTATCTTGTCTATTTTTTATAATGCTCTGGGTATTTCCTATGTATATTATCATGTGTGAATTGTCCTGAACACGAATGTCTTGAATGTACGAACGAAGCTTTTTTATGTGTCATTCAACAAATAAGATTATTGTGTAACTTCGGCATGTTTATGATAGTATCCCTATCAAATTTGTAACATTATTGGTTTTTAAAATACAGTATGTACTGTGGTCTGTGTCAGATGGACAGATGGACAGGCGGACTGATAAAGTCACCATAAAGCCACCATTTTACTACTTAAATTCGGTACCCTAAAAATGGGAAATCCGTCAGAATATATTTGCAAGTGAAAAACCAATTTACTCCATTTTTTCTACTATCTATATTCACGTTGATAATAAATTGTATAGAATACTATGACACACAAGGACGATAGTGCTCTATTTAATGTATCTCACATTAGAAAATAGAGCACTGTCTTCCTTGTTGTCGTTTAGTAAAATTATTACAGCTGCAGGCCCGACCTACTTCCACCGGTCAAGGCCTCATCTATAAACTCACGAGGACCAGTGGACTTGGACCCCTGGGATTTATTGTGATGCAGACTGGGACAAACAATGCCTATTTAATAGACCGAGAAGGCTTTATCAGAAGATATACAAAAGATTTTATATATTTTCTTACATTGCCACGCTATAATATGAAAATAAATTAAAAGGTTAATTTAAAATTTATAGTAGGAGGGTGAATTCAATAGGTATTTTTTTAATACATCTAGGGCTTGCTTATACAAAAGATTCTTAGTTTAAAAAGAGTATAATTGAAGGTTTTGGAAAATAACTTTGTGGCTGGTTACTATAGAAATAGAAATAATCTTTATTCAAATAAACTCATTACAAGCACTTTTGAATAGTCATATTTTGATTCTACCACTCATTCGGAATGCAGATTCATCACAAGAAGAATGAGCAAGAAACTTGTGTGTTGCTCTATTTAATAGATGTTTTTTTTTTATATAAATAATTACAGTATAACAAGTAAGAGGCATGCGATAATCAACATAGAAGTCGCTACGCACTCATTATTAATGTAATCAGATAATATTGTCAGTGCTATAGATTTAAAGTTTTTCTATAAAAACATTATTATCGTTAACGAATTCTTCAATTTTATAGTAAGCTTTTTTGCAAAGGAACTGTTTTATTTGACATTTAAATCTTTTTTCTGGCAGATTTATGACAGACTCTGGTATTTTATTGTAAAACCTTACGCAATTGCCATAAAACGAATTACTAACTTTAGCCAAACGACATTTAGGTAAAATCAGTTTGTTATTGTTACGTAAGCTTTTATTAGTGCAATCACTAACTCTTTTGAAACTGTCTATATTCCTTCTGGCATAGATGATATTTTCATAAATGTATTGAGAAGCAACGGTGAGGATATTTGATTCCTTAAAACACTCTCGCAATGACTCCCTGGAACTATAACTGCTCTACTGGAATGTTTGGTAGCTAACTTTTATCATGTAGCGCCTCCGATACATCCCCCATCCAATTAAAACGGGAATCGAAATTACGACGTCCTGAGCCGAGAATCGAACCCTTAACGGTGCCCTTAGACTAAAGTCGTATCCGTCAGGCGGGAGTTGGCCTTCAGCCGCTCCATAAGTGCATTTAGCAAACAAAAGGAAGGCCTTTTGTTTGCTAAATGCACTCGCTCCCTATCGCCCGGTGAAGTTTATAAAGGCCAGCTGCGGCCAACAGTACAAACAAGAGTAGTTCAAAAAAAATAAAATTTTATTTGATTGACAAATAAGGTATTTATTTACGTCCTTCCCATTTCCTTGTGTAACGCAATTTTAATATTCAATAAACGAAAGATTTTTTGAAAGGAGGAAGTGTGAGGTACATTTCCAAATACCATTATATAAAAACAGACATTCCGAAATATTAACAAAAATAGTTTATAATTTCAAAATATATTACGTCATATTAGGGAGGGAGAAACCTCTTTAATGTTACTGACCAACTGTGACAAGGACGGAGCATAGAGCATAAAAATCACTAAGTTCTTTTGATAAAATTTCTAGATGGTACCTTAATTGCCCGTAAAAGGAGCTGTATTTTATTTTGGAACCACATAAATAGCATTCATACAAAACCAGGCCAGATCACTATTATATCTTTACCAAAATGTTTGGACTGCAGGAAGCTCCCGTCGGAAAACAGACCTTCTAAACTTAGACAATTCTGTCAGCGGGTTTATGTTTACCAACCCTTTTTGTTTGTCATATTATTGTGATTTCGTATTCAAATGACCTCCATTCGCAATATGGGTCATTATGGCGTGGGCTGCTTGCAAAATTTCACACGTGTCATATTAGTGTTAATACACACGCACAGATCTTGTCAAAGAAATACCCAGGAGCCTAATTATATAATGTTTTTGACCCTCTGTTTTGTCAAGTTCGGGAAACAGTTTCGGTCGACTTTAACAGGAAATTCGATTGTGGAAAATATATTTTTTTAATAAATTCATGCAGTCCAACATTACCCAATAAAAATATAGCCTACGGTAAGCCCCTACGCTGCTTTTTTAACAGATAATATTGGGACAGTTAACTGTTTACCATCAACTGTACTGTATTGCACAATGGCCACCACGGTGGTTTAAAAAAATAGTACATTCGCCTGCACTAACGGTATAATAGTGCCTAGCAGTGGAGTGTGATAGGATGAAAATCAAGTAATGTCAGTTAGCCTATCCTAACGAAATCACCAGGAATTAACCACGTTGGTTTCCTGAGAGTACCGCGTAGAAATCGACATAACGAGGCACACACTAGCGATGGGATCACTAGTCCCGTATTCAGTGATTCATGATTACATAGATGCTTTCAAGCAATATCTTTAAATATCTATGGTTTGATAAAGCTCGAAACTGCTAAAGCATTTTTTTAAATAAGTTCACTCAAAATGGTGCAATTTAAAATTCGGGACAATTGTTATTGACATCAATATTAGAACTACTGAGTCTCTGCAACACGTGACCGGGCCCACACAAAAAAACAATTTAAAAAGTAACTACCAAACGTCAATAATAAACACCATAACATTGATTTGCATTTACTGAAAAATAGTGACGAGCAATTTGTCCGTTATACTTTAACTAAACTCGGTTAACTAAAATAGTTTGGTTATTCTATAGCTCAAAGTTAATAACAATATTTTCTTTATTACTAGTTTGATTATATCTAGAGTAACTCAACTATTATAATTTATTGATAATTTTTTCCAGTATGCTAGACATTTTCTACGTTTGTAGATTTGTAACAAATAAATTTAAAAAATATTGCAATATTTGAAAAGTCCTTTCACCATTAGAATTTTACATCATCTCTGAGTAACATAGTTTATGTTTTTAATTTTAGAAATAAAATAGACCTCTCTACTTAAACTTTAATATAATGCGTATTTTAAACGCACAACGCATATATTTTATCCAGAGTATAAAAAAACATGAAATATCTGTTTCGCATGCACTTTTTTATTTTTTTGGTTATCCATCCATATTATGTTAGTAAACGACTTATAAACTACGTTAGTAAATCACTCTTTACTAACGTAATTTATAATCTTAATCCTTGTCTCTCAATTCATATATCTATGTCACTGACCCAATGTACTGGGTCCGCAGAAGCGCAAGGATGTCCAATGCCTCTGGAGTGGACAATCCGATATATGGATTATAGTGGTTAGGAGACATTTTGCGCTCCACCGAATTTTAAAGAATAGTGAAGCAGTTCTTTTTCGCATTATGGCTTGAAAGCCGTCTATCTGCGCTGCTGCAAACTTCTCAGATGCGCTACAGAACCAAAGGAGCATAACAAGATTCT